GTCAATGTTCATGGGAATACTATTTCAATTTCCCAAAACTAATAAGTAGTGCGTCTTCTAACATCCTTTTTAAAATATTTCGGATCATCTTGCGTCTCGGTTGTCGCCAACGATGTAAAATACGCGCCTCGTGGGAAATTTATTTGCGGGAGATCCTAAGCCGGTATAACTTGCGTTTTGTCCCTCAATGCGACATTACCTCGGTGATGTTCTGCCATGCTTTTATCATGAGCTCTCCAATAGTCTAGTGGCTATTTTGATTTCCCTTGCGGATTTTCAGTTTATTTGTTAGCTCTTAAATGGAATATTTGAATAGATCACAAACATCAACAACAACATTGATTGTAGAAAATATAATGTATTGTATTAAAATATTAATTTATTATTAAACACTAAAATGAATTATAAGTCAATAAAACATATGGATGAATACGTATTGTGGACTCTGAGACAGCAATAAGCCTTTATGACTCGTCTCATTTCATTGATCTTATCAATAGGAATATAATTCATTGAAGAGTTAAGGAAAAAGTCGGTAAGTTGTTGTTAGAGATCGCCTGGTTTTTAAATTTTGTCTGGTTTAACCAGTGTAACTCGAACTGTGGCTCAGGGCTCGTGGCTAACTGGTAACCACTCGGATAGCATATTGCAAAGTTAAACAACACCAGCCAGGTTAGATAAGTGACCATTATTAACACATTGAGACCTCTCGTGCTTTAGAGAGCAAAAAAAACGGTCGGTCTCGGTCACCATACGAACATTTGTGGCAATCGCTGCGTCTAGTTACCCTACAAAACAAACGTTTTCTATTACGTAGTATTTTAAGACTATTATTTTTAAAGTGATTTTTAGTTTAGTTATAGTTTTCGAACAGCAGAATTAGCACCAATATCGAAATTCTGTAGAAAGATTGTTGTTTGATTTTTAGTTGTTGTTGAAGTCCGATAGCAGATGCTCCACGTAAAACATCAGAAGCACGCATTATAGTAGATTAAAAGCCGACCCCAACCTACTTTGGGAGAAAGGCTATGAGGATCAAGATAACTTGATCTCATTGTTTGAACTTTAATATCGTGACAGCTTAAAATATAATTATGTATGCTCGTCTCCTATAGTTACCCTTATATTTATGTAAACTGTTTTAGTAAATCATATTATGAATCTGTTTATCTGTTTAACGCTTACCAATAGAATAGCCGAAGCGATATAAGTGGGTAGAAGTACAAAATTTGCTCCATGTGACCGTTAGAATTGATGCGAAGCTATCACGAGTAGCAGGTGGCGCTCGTGTCCAATTCACACGGGAGTGTATTGCGTCCGAATGGATTGGATTGGTTGAAAAAAAATGATTGTGTCCCGCAATATGTGGCGTGGGAAATAACGTGCGATGTTCTCCCATCGCTGACCAATTACTGATATGGAAATGTGTGAGCTTGCGGGCGATGTTGGAACTTGAAAATTAAACAGATGAAGTTTTCTACGCGTATGGTCGCTACGTATATATGGTCTAAGTTAAACTTTAAAGTACTAAAGTACACACATTATCTCTTATTAAAGGTAAATGAGACTTGGGTACGTGAGTGTAAAGTTTGAACAACTTTTATATTATTGACTAAATTTAACTTAATTAATACTTTAATGTATTATCTACCATGATTTCCAAAATTAGGGTATTAATTGTTTGTGTTTTGGAATAGGGTGCAAACGAGCAGATGCACCTGATGGTAAGTGTTTACCACCACAACGTTGTGTTGTGGGTTCGATCCCCACATGGGACGACACTTTGTGTGATCCACAAATTGTTGTTCTAGGTCTGGGTGTTCTTTGTGTCCGTTTCATGTATGTTTGTAAAGTCCCCCGCGACATAGGATATATTCCTAATGCGGGAGTTGTCTCGAATGGCTGGAAAAATTGTTACCACAATGTTACGCATATTATGTCATCAACACTTTTTGCCTCGCATAACCAATCTCTGGAACAAGTTATCGTCTGTGGTGTTTTCGGACCGATACGACCTCAAAACCTTCAAAAGCTGAGCTGCAGGCGTTAATGGGCGCCGTTAGTCGCTTTCCAAGCCAAGTTTTGTGTTATGTTCTGTTTTGTGTGTCTAACTAAAATAAATAAATCTCTGCAACTCAATAAATACAACTGCTTATCACCCTTTGTGTGCCCGCCCCACTACCAAATAAAGGATTAAAGATGAAGGAGGGTTTCCTGTAGCCTCACTTACTCAGTGAAAAGCATCGAAAGAATTGCATAAAACGGTTTTCTTAGAGACTGTTTGATTTTATTAAAAAATGTGTTTTATATATAGATACTTTTTATTGAAAACCAGGCAAGTTTTGTAGTTTAAAAATATCAAACCAGGATGGACTATACTGTGTGTGAAATGTCAGTTCCGTCTATAAAAATCAACGCAGGACAACATTCGGTTAATTGGTTTGTGTATAAAAGCGGACTGAGTCTTGTTTTGATTTGTAGATATAAACCTATATGTGATGGATTGCCGCAACGTAATTCGATGGCGGATTTAGAAAGATATACACATACAGGAGTAATGAACATTTTTTAAACCCAATATACCATTTATTTATTTAATTGCTTACACACATAGGACCATCGCCAATACTTAGAGATTTATCTCAAGATCAGAATGTCCTTTTTAAGATGGCGTAATTAGATTTATAGTTATAGGGATGCTATAATTTAGAAACTAACCAAATACATATGATTTATGTACTCGTATATACAATTGGCTGGTCCACGAGATTAAAGTCACTCAACGTGCAATGGAAAGGGCTATGCTTTGCGTTTCTTTAATGGATCACATCAGAAATGAGATAATCCGGCAGAGAACCAAGGTCGCCGATATAGCCTACCGGATCAGCAAGCTGAAGTGGCAGTGGGCTGCTGACAACCTTTGGGGAAAACGAGTAGGACGCCCACAAGCCTGGTGGAGTGACTATTTGCGCAAGATGGCTGGCAGGAGCTGGATGCGAGAAGCCCAAAATCGATCTAAGTGGCATGCAATGGGAGAGGCCTATGTCCAGCAGTGGACTGCGATAGGCTGATGATGATATACTTTTTTTTTCAAATTTAATGACCAAAGGGCCCGGTTGCCTGCAACAGGCTTGCTCTTCTGTAATTAAACGTAAATAGAGCGAAATTGTAGTCAACAAAACGCGATAAAATAAAACGCCTTTGGGAATGTAGATGTGAGTATATCACATAAAACATATTTCAGCACAAATACTTTTGTGATGAGCACCATGATTTGTTTTGTATCTGGGTTTAATTTATAATTTTGCATGTATTTAGAAATATTTATCAGTAGTCTGGTTACGATGATAGTACATGCTCCACCTGATTTCCGTTCATATGAGGTATCTCTAGTTTTTTTTTTTTGCATTTGGAAAGTAAACTGACAGACGGGAGATCAGAATCGATTATAATCGATATGCCGTAGGGCCCTATACTACGTTTGCCTAGTTACGGTCTTCACTCCACATGTCGGCTCAATGAAAGTAGCTAGCAGATGTATGCTCCAGGATAGATGGTACTTCTTGGGGATGTCTTCATTCAGCAGTGAACGGCGATAGACTGATGATGAATCGATGTGGAGTATTTTTAGAACGGACAAATTTGTCTTGCAATCCGAGTTAAAAAACAGTTTTTAATTTATACATGTCGGGGACTAATTTTAGGAAATGACACACGGCGAGGGAAACGGAGATGGTCAAAATATTTAACTACATACGAGTCTGTAAGGCACTCGAGTTCAGTTTCTGGTTCTGTATAGACTAACACCTACCTGTACACAAAGAAACTGAACTCACCCCACGCAAGGGCTTACGTACGTACGTAGATCCCTATTATTAGCAGTATATAAACAGAAGTGAAAATGAACATGCAAAATAAAACACTTTTTTCCTATTTATATTTATTTTAGGACTAGATAAATCTTTTTGGAATGTATTACACATTAGTTTATAAAGGTTGTTTTACATGAAAAGTGAAAATAATGGTTAAAACTCCCATAAATTTCTTTTGTAATTCCTTTTTTACTAATACAATTTTAGTTAATTTAATTCGACTTTGAGGCTCACTCGTTCTTTCTTTATTTTACCTTACAACTAGAGCAATTGTGATAGGTATAAATAAATAAAAAAAATATCATTAACTAAGTGTAATTGAACTAATTTCTTAAGTTCGAACGTGTCCTTACTTACATGCAAAAATAAAGTATTATTATATTTTTTCGTTGTCATTTATATTTTAGGAATTTAAAAAAATATATTATCATAATAATTTATGTAGTTACATTACTAACCTATTGTAAAACTAGTTCTGAATATACAGGTAAAAACAGCTGTCCTCTTTTGTATATAAATTCTTAAATATAAATTTCGTCATTTAACTAAGTACGAATCTTAAGATTTAAATAACAAAAATATATTTTTTTCAAGTTAGCTTTACAATGATCTCTAAAACATCCTGTATTCTCTTGTGAAAAAGACAACATGAGATTAACAAGAGTATTATTACTGACGTATGACCATTATTCGGTCTTTATAGACTTATCGATTTGTTGAGATAATTTTTTAAGTTGTTCGTGTGTAAAAAAATCACGAAGACCTGGTTTTATCTAGTCAAATCTATGATTTTTTCCAGTGGATGTCCAGTATAAAATTCAATCATGACAAACCAACCTATCGACGACAGTTATTCAACCATGAACTGTGCTAAAGAAGAGGAAACCGTCTAGGATACTGTAGGTTTCATTTAGAATGCATGAAGTATATATTGAAAATGAAAAGGTAGGTTTGAATATGAATAAAAAAAAATGTTTAACAAATTTTTTCGCCGTTATTATTTGACAGATCAGCGTAGTCCACTTCAGTAAAAAAGTTTAGAATAAAACCTTTGATAAGAACACTACAGTGAGGTACAATGACCTTTTTATTACAATTTGTTCATATTTTTAATGAATTTATCTATTATCACGTTGTTCGTAGTAACCGTAGCAAGCTTATGAGTATTGATGCCAAAATAACTGTTATACTGCACGATGTCTGGTATCCTGAAAATTGAAAAAAAAATCTTTATTTAATACCTATTATCACCCGAATGAGTTTAAAGATATTTAGATGGATGGATAAATAATCTTTGTTGTACAAAAACAAAACACAGTAATAATACAGTTTGTATACATTGGTATAACTCTTATGATCAAAAGTTACATACGGAGAACACATTTGCGATCTCTTCAAGGCAACTACTGTAAGGACGAGGAGAGGGGCAATGACATGGGAAGTTTCGATTTGCAGATCGAAGTTTCCTGAGTATGATGTACCAAATATAGTATATAAAAACGTATATAAATAAAATAATAAACACATACATAGGTACATAATTACTATTCTGACTCCTCTTCTTCTGACTGCTTCTAATTAAATATTCTGAATTTTATTTATTTCAACAAAACTTTTTTTTTAAATTAAATGCAAAATGTTTATACCTGCATCTGGATCTCCCTTCACTGAAGAATCTGTTGAAGTTGTTGGTGGATCTGTAAGAGATATATATTAGATAAGCAAATATAAATGTCAAATTATGCTCCCATAACCTCAGTGAAGACTAAATGATGTTTAGAGGAAGATAAACTCGATAACAGATAATACTGTAGTTAATGCATACGAGTAAACCTTAAATTTATGATAAATAAATAAGAATACCTATACATAACCTTCTTAAATATATTGTTGCGCCATATGATTAAATGGTTCGATTGTTCCAGAATTGTATGGAGTGTGGAGGACAGTGCTATCTAGCATCGAGTAAACTACAACTATTAAGATTTTGGTTAATAATTATGATCCTTACAGCGTTAGATGGCACTGCAAGTAACGCGTGACTGATGCTGGAATATTCTTGATGTCTGGAACGGACTATCGAATACTAGGGATCTTTCTAGTAAATTCGACAGTGCTATAAAAGCGGAGCGTATTGGCCGTACGACACAGTATCGTTTTACGACACAGCGAATTAACATCGAAGTGAATTTCTACCGCGACTAAATTGTAATATAGTGATTTCTTGTTTGTTATAGTGAGTGTTACTAAACACAGTGCAATAAAAGTAATTAACCGACAACTTTTATTTATTATATACCCCGCTCGTAACAATATGTTACAAATATAGACCTTTTTTAAAGTATCCTAATAGGAACAGTCTATAATCCAGATAACCCAACGAAAGGATCTTATCCCTTTCATATTTATTTTAGTTGTTTTTGTTTTATTTATAGCTAAAAGTCTTACAAAAGGCATATGCCGCTACTTATAATAAAGTTTCTAGTTCGTAGTTGCTCTAAAACTATGGCGTAACTTCTGATTCAGTAAACTTAAGATGAAATAGCTGTTGGTTCGAACCACATTTAATAGATTGACAACGACGTGAACTTACTTCTAACTTAAGCATTTGATTAAGCTAAATTGGTCAGTAATAATAATACTAGTAATGTATAATCGATTGGAATTTTTTATAAACCTTGCACTCGGCCCTCAGAGGTGTATTAGACACTGAATTTCGACTACTTTATAGTTTATGTACTCACCTCTGTAGAATATATCTCTCTTTCTGCTGTAGTAGTTGGCGAGTGGGACTTGCATGTCACACAAAATTTCGACGGTGGGCGGCAGCGCGTCTATCCTCATGACCGAAGTCGTTAGGGCCGTGTAGCGACCGTCGATTACTTTGATCGACGACTTTGCGTTTACTTGTCTGCGGGATAGATATTGTTCGATTGTTTTATTCTTTATCAGATTTTTTTAATTAATAATAAATTTTTAAATTAAATTAATTTGACGGGCCTGTTGGTCGAGTGGTTAGTGACACTGACTGCTAAGTCGGAGGTCGTGGGTTCGATTTTCTGTGTCTGGGTGTTATTTATCTATAATATGGATGTATTTAGAAATATATCCCTGCAACTTCTGCAAGAGTCACAAGTGCGTTTACGTCCTTTCAGCCCCCTCCCCTTCCTTAAGAATCAGGGCAAAGGGGGTTTGGATTCCGGTAACCTCACTCACTCGGTGGAAAGGAACATAAGAATTGGTAAGCACTAGTTTTCTGTGAGGCCGTGGTATCACTTAGAAGGCCAATTCTCGTAATACGTAAATACCTTTTATGATAGTTGTGAGATCGAAAATTGATCGGAAATGAATTGCGACCAAACTTTTATTACGAAAATTGACCTTCTGGTCGAGCCTGGCCTATTGTGCCAAAGGATGGCTCACCCACGATAAATAATAACGATTTTATAAGAGAATATTATGGTTCCTAGCTCTGTATTTAAGAAAGTACACATCGTTAAAACATGTTACTACTAAAACTCAAGATTGCAAACTAACTACGTATATTGTCGAACGAAAATGTATGAAATCGTAGGATTACAGAATAGAGGTACGACAAACTAAATCCACTCGGTCGGGTATGTGATCAGAGCAATGTCGAGGTTGTTACCCAACTTTCGCGGAACATCCAAATTATTCAGTCTAAAACTCTAAGATAAGAAAACATATGGTGAGAAATTCTCGGCAGCGTACGAGTAAACTTTACTTGGAAATTGTTTATGAAGTAAATTTACTAATAAAGTGTGTACATTTTGTAGGTCGTTTTTAGAAGTCAAGTTTATTTGCGGAAAGAACTTTGTTTGGTATTTATTTATAGGTTTTTAGTGCTTAACTTTTCGAATGAGATGTTTTTTTATTCTGAAATGGCAAAGGCATTTTGAGGGTTAAGAAAGCTTCTTTTCATGTCAAGCTAAAAATGAGTGTATCACTGTATATTTAGTATGAGTGTTATTTTTTTTTGTTGACAGGGTGGAAAATCCCTTCGGATTTCTGGTTCTTCAGGGACGCAGGAGCCAGGAGTATGTGGTGTTTCCACCGCAACCCACTTCGATATTAGGCGCCGGCCGGTATTAGGCGCCCTGCCTTGGGGAGGACCCGGACCATGTTATTTCAGGTCCCACCCGGATCGACGCCGCGCCTAGCCAGGCCCTATCCCGGGCTTCCCCCGCCTATCGCTCAATCCTTATAATACCAGGCCGCCATCCTATTGCCTACCGCACCAGTTAATCTGCCACCAGAGGTCCCCACTCTCTGCCAGTCTGCGGCCCCGTCGACGGCTGATAGCGCCACCGACGTCCTTTACGCTCGAGGTCGGCCCTCTCCCCATCCCGTTCAGCGGTCTCTTTCTGGAACATTACAGCTTCACAGAAAGAGACCATTTGGCCCCAGCCCTCCTCACCGGCCAGCATGGCAGCTGGCATGATTGCTGGCGGGGATAGGACTGGTCCGATTTGGTCGACCAGACCCTGCGTTCAGACGCCCATGCGGGGCAGGCCTTCAGCGTATGCTAGGCGGAGTCCCAGTCGGCTGCGCAGTGCTATCATTGTGGCGTCTCCTCGTGTCAATTATTTTATCGTTCGTGCTATAAAATAATTTTATTAATTCCTAGTAAAGTGCCAGTCATTATGACGAATCTAATGTTTTAAATTAATGCCTTGCTGAATTTTTTTACCAAGTGTTACTAATGTGCACCTTATAGTTGAAATTTAAGTTCATACTGTGTGAACATAATAAAAATATAAAATTTTATTTTATTTAAGCATTTTAAACTTTTTGTGGCGTAATCCTTTTACACGGATTATAATTATTAGTCAATTAATAAATTCTATCATATATTCAATACACTAAAATGGTGGTACAATAGGCAATCTTTATAGTAAAAAAACGAACAAACTCGTTAAATGTGTTCTGAACTGAAAATAATCAAACTCAAACTCTCTTTATTTATTCTTTTTTCTCTTTATAATTTTTAGAAGTATTATGAATACTTCTAAAAATTGTTTGAAATCGTCTTTTTTGTATACCCTAAAGTCATAGATCAACACACACAATAGCAACAATCTCTTTTTGTCAAATAGTAAGCAAATAATTTTAATAAAATTAAACTTATACAAAATCTATGATATGCCTGTGCCGATCTACAACCGCCCATTTCCAAGGAGTTGAGCCTAATGAAAAGAACGGTCAAACAAACTCCTGGTCATTCTTCTGCAATTTATAGATAGATACAATGGCATTATTAAACATACCACAACATTGTTTTGATGGCTGCCAGTATGTCCGTTATTAAGGACTAAAAACTAACAAGGCAATGAAGAAAAAAGAAGATTAAGAAAAAAAATCGAATAAAAGAGAAAATGAAGTGAAACATAAAAACTAGAACAATAATAATGATAAAAAACACACTAGCCCCGACTACATTTTTACATAAGAAATAGCCTGCGCTAATTAATCCCAAGCATTTTTTGTCTTCTATGTAATCCACAATTGAGTAAAGCTTTAAAGCTTCAGCAAAGCGCTGACGCTCATGTTTTTGACCCCTATGTTACGAGATTAAAGAACATTTAAGTAATCGTATTCGGTATTATTCACGATCCACTCGGACGTCCGGGAGTTTCCGTTGTGCGCTATTCCGACCAATTGATTGATTCCAACATATTAAAAAGTATTTTGAATGTAGATTTTTGGGATATTGAAATTTTAATGAAAACTAAAATATTTTATTCATATAATATTTATTTTTAACATACTTTCTCTACTATATTTTTAGCATTGTGAAAATAAGTACCCTTAAAAAAACTGCAGAAAATCTGTTGAGTATCTGAGTGAGAAACAATTATAAATATTTAGAGAATTATACTAAGGGAAGCAAAAATCGCTGAAACTTTCTGTCGTATCATCATCATCAATAGCCTTTATTAGTCCACTGCTGGACATAGGCCTCTCCTTAGAAAGGAGATTATACAATAGAGATCGCTTGGCCGTCGATTGCCACCGTTTTAGACGTCTTGTATTATTTCATTAGCCAATATAACTCGAATTGACATTCTAGTGCAGTTCATTTATTAATCGGTGGTGCAGTGGTAGCGTATGGAACTGCTGTGCTGAGGTCTCGAGTTAATAAAGATCAGTTCTTGACCAAAAAAAATACAGAAGAGGAGGCAGACTATCAGATGGGTCACCTGAAAAGTGACAACCGCCGCCATGACCACTGTTTCTTGCAGGATAATCATCAATTTTATCAAATCTCTACTAAACTGATATTCCTCTATAACTCTACCTCACATCGTCAACCCTATAAACTTGTCACGGTATAAGCAGCAATGGAGGTTCAATTTAGCATAACATCGTAACTCAAGTCTTGTGTGACATCTAACAGCCGACGTACGTACAGTTCGGTGCACAAGCCTTTGAGTTCTGATCTCTTGCATCGACTAAGCTCCTGTAGGCGTATATACGTATATAAATGTATCTCTATGTGTGTATCATTTTGTAATACTGTGTGCCAAGAAAAATGATACAATATTAATAACATCACACATCTCACACATGGCAGTCAAATCCTTTTTTCTTTTTTCCAGTAGCCTGGGAACCAGGTGTACCCTCGAAAGAAAATCCCTGGTAACGGCAGTCTGATCCTAAAGAATGTAAATAATGATAAACATACCTATATATTTCTAAATGCATTAAGATAATAGACTAATAACACCCAAACATAGAGTTATAATTCTTTGCGGCACTGTGTGGCTGTTGTAAATAATAATAATATAATATAATATATTCTACCACATACACACAACGCCATCTAGTCCCAAACTAAGCTGAGCTTGTACTATGGGTACTAGACAACTGATATAAATACATATTTACTTTTTTTTTTTGTAAATACATACATATTATACATAGAAACACCCAGACCAAATCAAACATCAAATGTTCATGCACACAAATGTTTGACCTGAGCGGGAATCGAACCCGCGACCTTTGGAATAGCAGTCCGTTACACAAACCACTACACCATCCAGTCGTCGGATGAAATATCTTTTTGTGTTGACTAGTATTATATTATGTACATTACAGACAGGTACAGTTGACACGTTTACAGTATCGCAGTCAGAGTAACTAGTGTGGCCATAGTGCAATATATGATAGTGACGCGACATAATAAGTTACCAAGTGTCTATTAAATAGTGATATTACAACACACAGAACAAATGACTTTGATCGTCACACAATTTTTTGTCTTGGGTTTGAATCAAACCCACGACCTTAAGCTTAGCGGTCAGTGTGACTAAACCAACAGGCCAGTCCAATAAAATCAAAATGAAATATAAATTATTAATTTAACTAGTCACCTGTTTCCAGCGAGTATAACCAGGTCAGGTTTTGGATAGACGCCTTCGACAGAACAGATGATGTTTAGATATTTTTCGTCCAAGCGATCTTGAATCATGTCGAACTTGGTTTCAGGTACTGGAAAAAAATTATATCCATTAGTTATTATTCTCTAATTATAATTTAAAAAATCTACTAAAAATGTTCACGAAGTTTTTTGATTGTAGAAAATTTGTTAAGTATATTTAAAATACACAGTTCAGTTGAACTATATTTCTCTAAAAAAATTGTTTTTTAATCCTCTAACAACGATTCATAAAACGTGTTCAAATTTTAAAGTTACTGAAATGACCAGTGACAGTTACACCATAGACAAATAGAAGCCAAGCTAATATAAAACTAAATAACTCAATGTATGAGTCCTATGTACTGAATAAGAAGGCAGTTGACAGGGAAACCACTTAAATTACTACGCCATCCATGCATACAGTCCAATAGAATTGACCATTACCATGTGTTCACTGGAACCCCATCGTGTAAGTGGTGTAACTACCTACTATTAACTAGATATCGTTTTATTCCCACGTTAGAACTAATAAGAGTGGACTAGGTACTTAGCAACTAATACAAATTTATATTAAATGTTGGGTACCATCATTATATACGATCAATAATAATTCTTCTGACAGGTAGGTATTGCGACATGCCAGTTGGTCTAGTAGTTACCCTGTCTGATGAGCTGGAGGTCGTAGATTCGATTTATTCTATGTCTAGGTGTAAAAAAAGTATTTAAGTGTGTTTATCAGCAGTCTGGTTACTATAACACAGGCTCTTCCTAGATAGGGATCAGACTGCGGTGTGTGAAGTTATCTAATACCTTTAAACAAGCAATTCTCTTGTAATATATATAATATATACTAGCTGAGACCCGCGGTGTTACCCGCGTTTGTTGTTATAACCGCGGGCAACGCCGCGGGCGAAGCTAGTCTAAAAAAAGTAGCCTAAGTTACTCCTTATGGCATCAGCTATCTGCCAGTGAAAGTCAAGTCGAAATCGGTCCAGCCGTTCCAGAGATTACCCGGAACAAACAGACAGACAGACAGACAAAAATTGTAAAAAATGTTATTTTGGCATATGTACCGTGTAAACATATATATGCATTTAGTAAAAAGCGGTTATTTTAATATTACAAACAGACACTCCAATTTTATTTATTTGTATAGATATAGATTTATATAATCTGAATCTCGGAAACGGCTCCAACGATTTTCATGAAATTAAGTATGCAGGGGGTTTCGTCGGCGTTGAATCGACCTAGCTAGGTTTCATATTGAGATAATTTACTAAAAAGAAAAAGAAAATACCGAGCAAAGCGGTCGTCTAGATATTTATTTATGTATATATCATCATCATCATTATCAACAGCCTATAAAAGTCCACTGCTGGACATAGGCCTCTCCTTAGAAAGAAGGTTTTGGCTTACTATACCACGCTGGCCAGTATACTTATATCATATATTTATTCTGTTGATAACTTGTAACCTCCTAAATCAAAATAGAAATAGATCAAAGCGTTTGATATAGTGAGAAGGTGATTAACGTAAAATTGAGCACACATAGACTAGGTAGTAGTTATCATGCAGTAGAAGACGTGCCAGGGAAACTTAGAATACTCCGACATCTATGGTCTCGATATAGTCCGTCCTAATAATAGGGCAGGCCAGTAGCGCCTCAGTAGTTGGCCTTTAAGGATGCCTGTATAAGCTCACATATGTAGACTCGAGATTACAGCCCCAGGCTAAAGCCCTAGATTAAAGACTTCTGATTTTAGTCAGTTCAATTGTGTTTTAAACTTTTAAATATTATTATTTTTGCCTAAGAATTGACACACACAACTAGATGGGTAGAAATATGTATATCCTGTGTGTCCGGGGACTTTACAAACATACATAAAACGGACATAAAGAACACCCAGACTCAGAACAACAATTTGTGGATCACACAAAGTGTCGTCCCATGTTTGGTTTGAACCCACAACACTCGGCATAGTAGGAAGCGGCATGGCGACCGCTTAAACACCTATGCCATACTTGCAGTCAATTGTAGCTCAATAATAAATAATTTTTGTATCTATCCTCAACACTTGTCTACCAGACTGTGATGCATTTTTGAATACTTGTGTACCTATTGTTCGTGCCTTTGTTTAGAAGTAAAACATCTACTATGTATTACTAAGCCCAGTCTATGATCACGCGAACGGTAATGGATACTTCTTTGGAAACAAAGATTAAAATTTACTAGAACCGCGTTATTTTTTTAAGTTCTTTTGCAATTACACAAAAGGTCAGATTTTTCTGAGTAGTCAAAAAAATCTATAAAGTGGATGTATGAATAAAACAAAAACTTTAAAAAGTCATGTTCTTTATTTGATCTTAGGCGAACTTTAATTACGACCAAAATAATCAAGCATTTTTTGATAATATTGTATTATTTATGAATCTTACAACCCTGAAACTCGTCAAATACTTTTTTTGACGTTTTTTACTGCAATGTAGTCAAAAAATAAGTCATGCAATTATTGTAAGTTTCTTAAATATCCTCATGAACTCTGCCGTTGTGACCAAGATGACAGTACCTAAGTCTTTGACAGTACTTTGACTTTGACATGTGACCTGTGACCATGGCTAGTTTAATGTGGTCGAAACGTCATTTAATTTAAAGGTATGTGATAACTTTAACCTAGGTACTATTTATCGTCTAATTACATAAAAAACCCGTTTGTATATATAATGTTGCAAATATAGCATTAAAGTAAATAGTAAATAGACCTTAATAAAGATGCTACATTTAGTACATAATTAACCGTGTGTGTACCTAAAAGAACTCGTAAATAATATTGTTTTAGTGTAGACTATGTTTTATGAGCGACATTAATAATAGCACAGACGCTAAAATGCTGTCCTGAAATTTCATAATGGCCTTTGTATACTTCCAATTATGTTATGTTTTTGTCGTTTCCAGTTTTAAGGAACATTGCCTGTTGTTGTTTAAATATTGATGGATTTTCTAATATAAGCAAAACAGCCATTTGTATTCCATTAGCCTGCCTTCCTTAACTTTTGCTATACTTAATTTGCCAGTGGTTCACAAACTTATACTTTGTTAAAAAAAATTAGATCGTTGATATTAAATTTTGAGCTAATAGAAACGTCAATGTTTTTTTTCTTTGGACGTGTATTGATCGATTAATAAGTATGAAAGAATTATAAATAATCGCCTCTCTGTGCAATAAACAGGTACGTAGTTTTTTTAATAACTTGACACATGATACACTCAGTCGTCTGATGCCAAACTATGTAGATGATAACCAGACTGCTGATAAACACATTTACTTAAATATTTCTACACCCAGACTCAGAACAAATGATCATTCTCATCACACAACTACTTTTCTTGGGTTTGGATCGAACCCACAACCTCTGGCTTAGCACAGTCAGGGTCACTAACCACTAGACCAACAGGGCAGTCATATGCGATGACTGCCCTGTTGGTCTAGTGGGAAGATGCTTATGTACAGCATTGGACTGATAGGGGCTGTTGTTGATATTGATACCACGCTGGCCAGGCGGGTTAGTTTAGGGTTTATGTAAAGGTTTCCTTCTCTTTGCAGTGCTTTTTTCCTGCGTAGTCTGCTACCTATAGTCGGCTCTTACGAAACCCACGGAATGAATAGGCGAATCTGCGTCTCTCCAAAGAATAAATTTTTCCCGCTCCCATTGCCCGTAGCGTGATGTTATATAGTCTGCCTTTTTTATTTGACAGGACGCTACAATACAATACCTTATACACGATAAATTAAATGTATGTATCTAGCTAAATTGTCTAAGTAATGGATAGTAATATATCCTTCAACATATGTAGATATCTTACATCCACTTAAATATATTAGAAAGCCTTCAAATATCCCAACCCTAATCTCGCTACACGGCCTGTAATTACTTTTTAGTTCAAAAAGACTATATTTTAATCTCCTTACCGAATATTGTCATAGGTCTCGTTTTCTCATCTTCTGCCAAGAAAGTCGATACAACGCAAGTGTAGTTGCCGGTTAATTCTGGTACGGGTGATGTGATTCGAAGCGCACGATGCTGGGTGTAGGGGTTATTGGACACTTTGTAGGATAGATCTACCTGCAAAATATTCGTCTGTTTTAGTTTTTTTACATATCTTACAAAAAAATATCATATTTATTTTACATGTTGACTATGCGGGTCCCGCGACACGAGCATGTACCAGCGCGAACAGCATGCACATTATATCAACCAAACGTGAAGGTAACTCGTACATGCTACTGATAAATAACCCGCGTCTTTGCCCGCCCCAGCTACTTGCACCGTGTGTGACACTTAAGTCACAGAAAATCAATTTATAAATGTTAAATAGTAGACCAAACCCTCCTTTCTAAGGAATGGCCTATGTGCAGCATTTGACTATTAAAAGCTGTTGATGGTTATGATGATGAAATAATGACATAACACAATGCGTGTTTTACTTTATCAAAGCAGATTTTTTTCAGTTTTTCTTGAGTACACTGTTTACACCATACCAGGCACATGTGTAAATGTCATAATGCCATCTAGCGAAAATGAATAGAACTTATTAGATTAGTTAATGACAAAAAGCGAATTAAATAAAAGGTACTTCTAAGGTAACAAATGAGGATACGGTCTCTTTCCTGGAAATGTATGTAGACTATGGATGTATGCAAAAAATGCCATTGTTATCCTGTAAAAACTTATTATATACCTTTTAAGATTTACTGTACGCATACATCACTCAATACTAAACATTAAAATCATAAGGAACTAGAGACTTACCTTATCTTTTAAAATTCCTAAAGCTTGAGGTTTTTGCGGTGGTATCCACTGATACACGGGCTGAGTTTTGTCCATATAAAACCACTTCACCACCAAACCGGTGACGTTATTAGTGACGAAGTCACAGTCAAGTGTGATGGTATCCTTAGTTCCATATTGTATCACGTCTGGGACACGCATGTTGATGATTCGAACTGAATGAACACCTGAAAGTAAATATGATTATTTTTAATTAAAAAAAATATATCTTCGCACTGCAGGAGAGAGCAATTTATTACTTAGGTAATCATGATTCAAAGATTCAGAAATTTAAAAATATATATGTGTTATTTAATAAAAATAAAGTTTACTTTAAATGCAAATTAAAAACATTTCGTTAAATACATGACATAAAATAATTATATTTAGCTCCAGGATAAATTTACGGGTCGTTTTGAAGCCAATGGGTGCTATGTATAATAGGGTGTCCCGTCAATGTATGGGTTTTTTTTTTTTTTAAAGCGACGGCTACGCAAGAGGTATCAAAAGTTGCGTTTTTGTGAATAGATTACAAATATAACAAAATTTAATTAAATATTTGTCATCTTTAGGCCTCTACCGATCCTAGAAGTTTTTCAAATTTGCCATTTTTAGAGGTTTCGAACATAAACTATAAATGATACAAAAATAATGTTTTAAAGGTTTTAATCAAATTTATAGGTACTATAAAGACATAAGGTAATGTTCAGTAAAGTTTAAATACTTATAATTAGTGCTTATTTCAAATACGAAATTGGTTCTTGTGGTCAAAATTAGGCATTTCCGCGCGAGATTTTAATCTGTTTCTGATTAAACCATCCCGAGCTGTAGCGTCCGTCACTAGCTTTACACATCTTTCCACTGATTGTGTATGACAGGGGAAATCAATAACATCGAAGCTTTGTTCTTTAGCCTTAATTCTCAGTTCGTCGTCGGACATCTGTCGCAAAATCGGTGGAGCGGATATCTCACACTCTTGCCAAAATATCAAATCGATGTAATATCGCGCATCGAAGTTAAGTTTTGGCACTTTAAATACCCTGCGAGTATTGCTTATTTCTGCTTCTCTTGCCTTTAATATTTTGCGAGCTGCAAGCTCTCGAATATGCTCTCTGTCGTCGAATAGCATGGTAACAAGTAAGTTTTCAGGGTGAGCAAAAAAAGCGTTTCTCTCGATCACATGGTATGTAACCATTTGAACAATATGATTGGCTCCATCTTTGAATGATGAGTTTTTCTTAATGAGGAACCAAACTGGAGCATAAACTTTGACCACATAATTGACAAGCAGCTTTAAATTATTTGATGGCGAAACAGTACTTACATAAAGTCTGAGTATGCGATTGGCAGTAGTTAGCCATCTTGAATGCGCCATTTTTCCAGGTTGGCGGCTCGCTAACACCCCTGAGTTAGCGAGCCGCCAACCTGGAAAAATGAAACAAGAACCAGTCGTCACAGCATGACACATTTCATACAGATACTTTTGATCCGTACTTAGTTCCTTCACAATGTCATCAGGTAATTCGAGCAAATTGCCAGCCACTGCATAAAAAGACACTAGTGGTTTACTTTCACAAACAATTAGCTGTTTTCCAATAGGTCCTGAGTATTCTTTCGGCCCAGATGTGCTACCATCTAGAGACATAAACAAATGGCGAAGCGGTAATTCATTTGTGTGAAGCATACAAACACACTATTGTAACGGTCTCTTCAAATAGTCTTCCAGGTATTTAATGACACCTCCTTTCCAACCTGTATTTGTAGGAGTGCCATCGCAACCCATACAACTTACTTCTTCTAAGTTCCATCCTTGATTTTCTAACAATTCGTTCTAACAATTCGACTCGGCGTCGTATGTCCCAAGTAAATACATCCCGGCTCTGTAAGAACTGAAATGTGTTCTTCTAAGACTTCTTTTCGGTGGTACCGGCTGTCTATTTTATTGATCTTGAGAGTTTTATCTTTTCGCCCATCGAAGTAGATACTCTTTATAATAATTTTATCGATGTCTTTGCTGGCTTGGGTACGTGACTTTGAAACAGCTCTGTGAATCTTATTTTTATCAATCACAAGGTTTAAATCTTCGGAAGATACCATTCCTACGTCAACTAAGACTGCTGAAGCGACTGCAGCTGCCGAACGCGTTGATAGTCCGTATCGATCACATACCTTAGCTACTGTTGGCAGCGTCAGAGTGTTCCGACTAAATGAATTAGATGGAGACTCCTTTAAGTAACTTTTAGTAGAAGGTTCTATTGAAAGCGACTGTGAACGAGGCGGCAACACGCGTACCGGTACAGTATCGGTTTGTGAAGTACTCGGAAAACATGCTTGCTCTGTCCGCTTCAAATTTTCTTGTCTTTGATGTTTCTTTAAAAACCTTGCAGTTTCTTTTGCGTCTACGCCGCTTATTGCCATTTTCCTATCATTTCTTTGGTCCAGTAAAAAATCTCTTTCAGAAATGGGAACTTTCTTGGGTTTAGTGCAGGAACAATTTTCAAACGAAGTGCACTTACAAGCAGCGATGTCAAAAAGCTTATTTGACGATTCCAAAAAGCACTTAACTTTGTTGTCATAGCTATCGTTTCTCTTACTTTTAGGATATCTTATTAGTGATAAATATTTGTTAAAATATGCGGTTAGCAGTTGAGTAACCCGTACGTTAGAAACGATGGGAATTGAAGCTTTGGTCCAAATTGTGTTAACTTTTCCAGAAACTATTGAAAAGACTTTTTCTGTAGTTTTAATTCACTTTTAGTAAATAAAATGCACTTAATAACGTCTTTTATAACAGGTAATTGGCGATCGTCAAGTTCTTTATAAGGTCCCAATATAGTACAAGTAGTCTCACTTCGCCTTGAACACATTTTTATGATTAAGTAACGCAAATTACGTTTTTCTTTCAAAGAAGAATAGAAAAACTCCTTACAAGAGTAAAATCGAAATAGAAATGAGTTCGTCTCATGTCTTGTTGTAGAAGTAGCGCACGTACGAAAATCAAGTCAAAACATGAATTTTGTAGGAATTTTGCAAGTCCGATCCAAACCGATTGATCGCTAAAACAACCTGTCGATACTTGCAAACCATAGCTGAGGCTTTTCTTATTGATAAAATTACAAGACAAAACAGGATTGATTCATAAAACATAGAATATACGACATTGACTACAAGGTTGTTTTTGCAAATTTTCAGTAAATAAAAATGCTGGTAGAGCCCTAAGGATATTTTTAAATATTTTTTGAATTATTTTTACGCTAATCTACATCTAACAGCGCAACTTTTGAGAGGTCTTAAGTAGCTAAAATAAGAATAAAAAAAATTCGGGACACCCTAATGTATAATAATAATCCCAAATACTATACAAATTTTAAGTGTTGAAGTTTAAGTCTACATTAAAACTGATACTATGCCTGAAGGGCTTTTGATCAAAAATAATTAAAATGTAGCTAAGAAAAACGCTCAAGGAATAAATGGTTTACAGATTCAAAGACTTAAGTAATTCGAAAAGCCTTGAAAATAGAAAGAAATATGAGTTGATATGTTTCTTATCTTCTTTTTCGTAAATTACTTTTTTATTTATTTATTATATTTAAATTTGTAGCAAAAAAAAAAAGATTAAAACAGGATTTCTTATTGCTCCTGTGACTTATTTAAATTAATTTGACGGCCCTATTGGTCTAGTAGTTAAAGACCCTGACTGCTAAGCCGGAGGTCGTGGGTTCGACTCCCACCCAAATATGGTGTGATAAGCACAATCACACCGTGTGGTGACGGATTAAGAACACAGAGTGTCACCACCCCTATTCATCCCGTGGGTGTCGTAAAAGGCGACTAAGGGAGCAAACTACGCAGGAAAAGCACTGCAGAGAGAAGGAAATCTTGACACAAAGCCTATACCAACCCGTCTGGTCAGCGTGGTGTAGTAGGCCAAAACCTCTTTTCTAAGGAGAGGCCTATGTCCAGCAGTGGACTAGTAAAGGCTGTGATGATGATGAAGCTCAATCTTTGGTTCTGTGTCAGGGTTTTATTTATCTATAATATGTATTTATTTAGAAATATATAAGTATGTTTGTCAGCAAGCTGGTTACCATAGTACAGGTTGTGCTTAGTTTGGGATTAGACTGCCGTGTGTGAGATGTGTAATAAGAGACCACCATTAGAATAAATAAAGAAGAATAATAATTAAGAGTCAAAACTTATATCAAAACCACGAGATACAGCAACTATTCAATAATGTTGTTGACAAAAATACACATTCGCATTCTTCAATTTTTCAATGCCCCAAGGGTAAATTTCGGACAAAAATTAAAACACGCCGTTGTACCGCCAAAATCAATAATAACGGGGGTCGCATCTCCCTGGAGACCTTCACGCGTCAGCGGTCAAATCCTCTGGGTTTTAAACATAATTTACCAATTGGTTTGGTTATCGTCAATAGGCCTGGCATGTACTATATATGTGTTAACTCTTGCGATACAAAAAAAAATGGAAAAATTAAAGGATGAAAATTGATATTTTGCAAGATTTCCTTAAAGGCAATAAGTACCGTGATAGCGTCTTCAACAATTACTTATTCATCATCAACAGCCTCTAACAGTTCACTGCTGGATATAGATCTCTCCTTAAAAATGAGGTTTTGGCCTACTACAGCATGCTGGCAAGACGACGGGTTGGTATAGGTTTTGTGTGAAGTTTTGGTTCTCTTTGCAGTGCTGTTGTCCTGCGTAGTTTGCTCAAATAGTCGCTCTTACGACACCCACGGGATGAATAGGGGTGGTGACACTCAGCATTCTTAATCCGTCACCACACAATGACACAATTGAAATTATTTATCTATATCTGCATAGTTAATTATTAATGTGCACATCTTTTCTCTGGCTTGCCTACAAGCTGTGGGAGTATTTCCGTAAAAGGGACGGAAGTATGTAACAGGATGGCTGTGAAATGCTTGCTATTTGATGTAACCAACGAACGCGTGCGCCGCTACGTAATAGGTGAAACATCACAAATTTCATATTATATGTATTGCTATATGCAAGGTTCGTTTGCTTTTTTTTAGCATTTTTCGCTCTTCTTTGTTTCACTTTCGATAATATAATGAATACTTTAATTGATTACGTTAGTACAGTTTGATTTATTTGGCAATTCTCTTCAAATAAAGTACCCTATGAAACCCACAAGATGTCCA